GAATCCGAGGGAGGCATGCCCGGGCTCAGAACAGAGCCAGGTCCTCGGGGCGCCACATGAGGCTCAGTGGCCAACATCCTCCACAGATGTCTGCACGGCACTCGTGGCCCCAAATGCCGCCATGACGCATGGCCACCCATGGGAACACCCTTGTGGATCAGGGTGGAGAATCTGATGCAGGGAGAACTTAAGGAACTCATCCAGGGTCACACGTAAAGTGGAAAAGCCAATTTGATGTCAGGAAGATAAGTGCAGAGTTGACAATCCACAGCTACCTGCTGCCAACCACTCCTGTGTCCCCACAACACAGATACAAGTAAGTGTGTGAGGGTGTGTATGTGCATGTGCACATGGACACGTATACAAAAATCAGAGAGAGAAAAACACATACACACATGCTATTTTATAGGAGGACTCCTGCAAGTCACCAGGGGACTTTAGAGGTGGGGAACTTCAGTCTCTCATGTCAGACACCTATCAGCCTTTCCCGATATCCATGCTGGCAGGATCGGATTTGGTTGAAGTCCTGAGCCCCATTCCCGTGTCTGTGTGCCCAGAGGAGGAGCCGCTGTGCCCAGTGTCATGCTGACAGGTCTGAAGTCCTTGCCAGCAATGGGTTTAAGGTGAGCATATGACCTCACCTCATTAGGGCAGGTAAACGAGGAAGGATGCTCTGGAAAAGCTTTCTCATTCTTAAAAAGAAAAAAAAGAAAGTAAGGATGAGGCACCTCTTCAGAACAGGGGCAGCCATCCCCTCCACTGGGGAAACCAGCCAGAGGCTCTGGTCCACAAGCTGAGCACAGTTCAGCAGAGACAGACACTCTGCGGTCACTGACCACATCTTTGAGAATCTGATTAACTGAGCCTGGAGCTCCCCACTTGCAGACTTCTTCCTGTGCGCATGAACCCGTTTTCATGACTGACTTGACCAGTGTTTGTTACTTGCAGCCAAAGGCACCCTACCAGATACACCTTCCACCCAGGTGACTGTCACATGGACAATACTGTACGGGGGTTCCAGAGGCTCCAGAACAGCGCTCATCACACAAGGTAAAAATTCATCGTCATTTCTCAAAGGCGGCTCGTCAACGCTCTCAGCTTTCCCTCCCGCTGTATGGAGCGCTGACAAGTGACAGGCCTGGTGCCGGGCGGCTACTAACCCCGTGCTCCCGGCAGAACTGCACGCACGCACGTTATGGTGAGAGAGAAATGATCTTGCTTCCACTCCAAGCACAAAATTTCTCCACCAAGTGTAATTCTGTCATATGTGGGCTTTTTTGTTGTTGTTGTTTGTTTTCTGACACTATCAGGAGTCTCTGGCTCTCAGGAGTACGTACCACACAGATATAGCAATCTCTTCCAAATGCAGCAACTTGCTTTCTAAAAAAAACCACCACCGACAAATGCAGCATCCCTGACGATATACCGCTAGGCGCTGTGCTGATCTGTCCCATATATTCCAAGCATTCTGGCTAATCAGCCATTCCATTTCGAGCATCTAAGGTTCTCACTGCTTCTCCAGAGCTCTTTTTGGGCAGCTCCACCCACACACAACATCACTGTTTCCACAGCAACCAGTGAATTTCATAATGAGCAGGACTGGGAAGGAAGAAATCAAGGGCGGGAGGGGAGAAGAGAGACACACACTGAATCATGGGAGGAGTCTGCGAAATCTTAAAGCCGGGCACAGCTCCTAAATGCTTCATGTGTAAATATTAAACATGCAAATAAAATCTATACCTTGGTTTCAATATGCACAGTCAATACCCACACTTCTTAAAGTGAATCTTAAAGTGAAGATTCATACACTTCTTAAAATGAGCTAAAATTACATACAGCCTGAGAACGGTAAGGGAACTATAAACCAAAACGTGTCGACGGTCATTCTCCTCTGTAACCCGGATCCGGAAAACCTGAGCATTTGGGAGGCTTGGCTGGGGACCCTAGGAGAGGAAGACAGAAGACGCAAACAAGAAGTATTTCTTAACTCCAGGCGACACTGACCTCTTTACATCAAGAGGAAGATGTGCCAAATGAAGACCCTCAAGAGTTAAAGGGGTTGGAGAAGCACCAAGATTAAAGGCAAGGTGGTCTCAGCTCCCCCTGGCCTCGGGTCCTGGGAGCCACACGGGCTGGCTCTGGTCCATCCAAAGCATCACGGGACAGACTTGTGCTCCCGAGAAGCCCAGGACCAGGGACCGCCTGCCCACTCTGGGCTTGCAGACAGCCTACCACAAAGCTCCTGCTAACGCTTACCATCCTCGAAAATCGCTCCGATTTCAAAGGACAATTCCGAGCTGTGTTCTGCTTCACACGGATACACCGCCCGAGCCTTCCGATGGATGACGCTGGAAGGGGAGCACACAGGATACACGCTGAAACGTGCGGAAACGGGAGCGGGAAGCCTCACATTTCCCCCGCCCACTCTGCCCGAACCTCCTGGGTATGTCGGCAGCGGGGCCGCGCCTTCCAAAAAAGAAGTCAGCAGGGACATGAACATCAAACAAACCCATAGCACCTGACTCATAACTGATGGGTTTCAAACTCAAACCTTTCTCGACGGAGCCTCTCTGAAAAGCTTTCCCTGAACCTCTTCAGCTAATTCTCCGCTGCTTGGTGGGATGCCCTTTCCTAGCGCTCAGCATCACTAGGGCCACAAGGCAGGTTTATTTCCACAGCATTTCAGTTTATCTATGAAAGAAAAGCACTGGTGTCTCGAGACGGAAGGTGGGCAGTGACGGGCAGGGGCACAGAGACACGAGTGGCTACAGCCGTACACCGCAGACTCCGATCTGTCTACACTGACAGCCTGCTTCCTTGCCACCCTGGAAGGGGCTCGTTGTCCTCAGCGGGATCTTCTTTATCTGATCCCCTCACTCTTGCTCCCAAGAGGCACATCAGGCTCAGCTTCTCACCAAGTGTCAAAACGTCCTGTGTCCTTGCAGGAAAAGAACACAAGTGGGGAAGGATGGAAACCACGCTACCAGCCAGGTGCACCCAAGCCAGGAGGAAGTAAGACGAGGGGAGGCCACTGATGGGAAGAGGAGCCTCAGCCGGCTGCCCCCGAGGAAGGGCTTGCTAACAGCCAGCACCTCTGGCCCTTTAAGTGGCTGTTAAAAACTGTTTCCAGTGCCCACTTTATCTTCATTGAAAACAAAGCACATGCTTTGTGTTCACGAATAAAAAGTTCTTCAAGGGGGGGAGAGTATAGCTCAAGTGGTAA